CTAAAGTGTGCAATAATGATTACCTATTTTAAAAATTGTTTTACACATATTTTAAATTTTCTTATAGAACAAATGCATTAGATTTTGAAGTCTATAAGGAGACATCTTTTTTAAACCTTAGCTTTACACTTTTTGTAGATAGATTATTTCACTATTTGAGTAAACATATTACAGTCCAAAGCTAGAGTTTTGACTCTGGAAGAATCATCTAGTGTTCCCAGCACCCTACACTCTGATGTTCATCCAACAGGCCTGAAGTAGAACTCAGATATGTGAATATTTATGAGGTACCCCCAGGTCATTTTGATGTAGGTTATATCTGGAACCATTGGTACTGGCAACATCATTTTGCAAAGAGCTTAGTTAAGATCCCCAGTTAAAGCCCAATGGCTTAGACCAAGCCAGAGGGTGGAGAGAACAACTCAACTTCAAATCACAGTGTTTGGGTGGGAGTGAGGCAGGTGGTGGGAAGTTGTGGTTCCAGAACACGGAAGCTTAAAAGGTCTTGCATCATCCACTTAGACCCACAAATAGGGCCAAACTGGAGGGCCAACCAGACAGGAATGGCCACCTGCGATAGGCCATGCCTCTCACTTTCACATTTTCAAGCTTGATTTTTGAGGCTGAACCAACAAGGCTGCATTTTCCAGCCCACTGATAGCCCAGTTGTGCAGTGAAAAGTGGCAAAGCACAACCGTCTCAAGCAGAGGAATCTGAGAACATGCATTTAAAAAATCTCCCCTCCCCCTGCCATATAGAGGAGTCCCAATTGCTAAAGTTCAAAGGAAGAAGGGAAAGACAGTGAGAATGAAATGGAAGAAGAGCTCAAATCTGTGGCTTCTGCTTTGGTTTTGAATCTGGAATTTTTTGAGCTTCATTGAGGGCTGAAATCCTGCCAGTGGCTGTAGGTCTGTGAATTGAACTGTGTGTTTGCAGGGGTGAGAGAACATTAGACTCACTCAGCAGCATGGTTCCTGGATATGTACAAGTTCTGTTTTGAGCTGAGCAAAATGGTTATGTAATTGCATACTTCTCATAATTATTGAGTAATTATATACTTCTTATAATTACTGAGTAATCATTGTTCTATAACTAGAACTTAATGTTACAACTAATTGTATAATTACCAGGTATTAATGTTGTTATCTGGAAAGCTTAGAAAAAAGTGATACTTACAGATTTCCCCTGCCATGCCATTTTCAAGGTGAGCAATACTGTTATTTTACAGCTCAAAATTTCCTTCAAAACAAACAACAAAATGCAGTGGAAAAAACTTCACCAACATTATAATCATACACATTTACTCATTGATTTTGTATTTGTCCCTGGCTGAAAATTTGTTAAATTATATTCTCATGGCTTAATTTTAGAATTTCCATTGTTGCTTTGCAAATTTCAGTCTTTTCTAAGACCTGCACAGTTATGCTACCGGAGAGGCAATTGAATATCTGCTTGGGTCTCTGTAGGACAAGCTGACCTTTTTGAAGTTTTACAATTGAGCATGTAATGACAGCAGAAATACTTCCAAGGAGCTCAGGATCATTGGGACAGGAGCAGATCTTCCCGTGCTGACAATGTAGTTCTTCTTAGGCAATGGTCAGAAGAGACTCATATTTAATCTTAACCAGGTTTCTTGAGTGCAGGAACTATGTCTTATGTACTTGGGGCATGTTCTCATCAGTGCCTAGCAAAGTCTCCTTCTTGCATGCAGTTGGAGCTCGTTAATCTTCAGTAGAAGCAAGCTGATTAGTTGTGAAGAACCTATGAAAGCTAAAGTGGCATAATTTGGTAATGCCTTTTTAGTGCTCAATGAAATTATCAAAAGCTGCTTTGTAGGTTTCATAACACCTTGCTAATGCATTACACATTTAGAGGAGTGCATTATCTACTTCCATTTTAGGACCTTGAAATCATTCTTGAAGCTACGAAGATGTCTTTATCTGGCTTTACTGAAAGTGAATAGAAATTATCATTGTCATGTTTTAGCCCACAAGCGCTGTTTATTCCCTTTGAAATCAAATACTCCTTTGGATGTGCCAATTTTGAGTCCAGAGGAATAAATTATTTTATGCCACTAGGGCTCTCTTGAGCTCATGGAAAAAACTGTGTATTTTGTAACAATAGATTTTATAGTGACTTCCTCCATCCTCAAATTATCATAAGTATCTTTTTCAATAACTTTTTGTATGTTTTTAAAGTTTGTTGGACTTACCCACATTTCATAAAAACAGTCAAGTCATAACCAAATATCAGATACTTTTTTGCATTACTTGATCTTCATTAATTTCAGTTTGAAATATAATCTGATGGGATAATGGCACATTGGTAGTGGATGAGATTAGTGCTGCTTTGTTTATTGAAAAAACTTAGAATTTTGATTAATAATACATTGTTAAGTTGGAAGCGGTAGAGAATTTAAAAGGTAGATTATTGCTACTGAGAAAATGAAATACAGAGTACAAAATTCTTAATCACTTGCAAGTTCTAAATGGCTGGAATGTATCAATTGTACAGATTACAACAAAAACAATAACGTCATTCCCAGCTGCTGTTTCTGAGCAACTATTGTGTGCTGGATATGATAAAGAAATAATCTCACGTAATTTTCACAATAGCACTGCAATGTAAATACTGTTATCATTCCCAGTTCACAGATGAAGAACCAGGCATTCAGAAATATTAAGTGTATTAGCAAAGGGAACATTACTATAAAATACAAGAACAAGTTCAAATGCAGGGCTTTTTGACAACCAAATTTATCTTCTTTCCTTTGCACTATACTTTGCTACTATGTTAAAATAAGATGTAAAATGTTTTCGTAAATATCGAAAACATTACAGTTTGTAGACTACACGATGCAAGATCACTTTTAGTATGATGCCATCTTTTATTTTTTTAAGCATTTGTTCAATAAAGATTATATCAGTGTCTAGATATCTTGCGAATATGCTTATTCTTTTCTTTGAAGTTCAGTATTGTGTTTTTTCATTCATTTCTCTATATCTGCAGAAATTGTGTAGGAAAGATTAAATGTAATATATTAAAAAGTGGTTTGTATAGAAAGAAGGTTATTTGAAGTAAATATTGGTGCTCTTTTAGAGAAAAAGTCTCACTCTGTCACCCAGGCTGGAGTGCAGTGACACAATTATAATTATAGTTCACTGTAATCTCAAATTCCTGAGTTCAAGTAATTATTCCGTCTCATACTATAAGCTCATAACACCATGCCCAGTTAACTTTTAGTTTAAATTTTTTTTTTTTTTTTTTTTAGAGATGAGGTTTTACTATGTTGTCCAGCCTGGCTGGTGCTCTTAATCATTCATTTTTCTGTTTTTTAAGAGTTATTCTAACATTTCCAAATTGACAAAACTAAACAGCATTTAAAAATTTGTTTTATAAGTGTTTCAGGAAAGCATCTAATGTAGAATGTGGAAATGTTACAGTTTTCCTTTGTAGGCTTTTCATTATTTTAACCCTAATTTCTGACTCTTCTTAACCTTAAATTTAACCTAATGGTGTAAGAGACAGAGATAGAATACTGTTATCAGCAGAAGTATTTTCTTATATTTTGGACCTGGTAAAATTCGAGAATGGGTTTGCTGAAGCTTTGGAAGGATGGTGGTGGTGGGACCAGGGTAAGGACATATTGAAGGTGATTTTCTTTTTAATTGTATTTGGGCTCTGGGGTACATGTGCATGTCCTGCATCCTGCAGGATTGTTGCATAGGTACATACACGTCATGGTGGTTTGCTGTCTCCATCCCCCCCACCCCTGTTGCCTACATCAGGCATTTCTCCCGGTGTTATCCCTCCTCCTCCTTCCAATCCCCGCTCCCCCCTGCTTCCCCCTCCCCTCCCCTCTTCTGCACCCCTCAACCTAGCCCTGTGAGTGTTGTTCCCTTCCCTGTGCCGAAGTGTTCTCATTGTTCATCACCCGCCTATGAGTGAAAACATGCGATGTTTGGTTTACTGTTCTTGTGTCAGTTTGCAGAGACTGATGGTTTCTCGGTTCATCCATGTCTCTGCAAATGACATGACCTCATCATTTTTATGGCTGCATAGTATTCCATGGTGTATATGTGCCACATTTTTTTTGTCCAGTCTATCATCGATGGGCATTTGGGTTGGTTCCAGGTCTTTGCTACCATAAACAGCACTGCAGTGAACATACATGTGCATGTGTCTTTATGATAGAATGATTTATCATCCTTTTGGTATATACCCAGTAATGGGATTGCTGGGTCAAATGGAATTTTTATGCAAAGACTCACATAGACTCAAAATAAAGGGATGGATGAAGGTGATTCTTCTATATAGCTAGGCAGCTTCTGCATTTTCTCAAAAAGCTAGAAAAATTAGATCTTCTGATCAAAGTGAACAGATAGTAACTCCCATCCCCAGTTGCTTTTCAGGATATTCTGACTAATTCTAATGTAAAGGGGCATTAGATAGAAAGAAATACACCCCCATTTCAAGCAAAGTGAACAGAAAATACCTCAGCTGGTGATATATGCAATATCAGACAAATATTCTGCCTGAGTATAGTATGTATATCCAGAACCATTCTATTTGAGGAAAAAGGTGTTATTTCTTCCTGTCTGCACATCCAAAAAAATTCAGGGATTTTCACTGGAAAAAAAAAAACTCAAAAAAATATAAACAACTCAAGTAATCAATTTATACATTTGTGCAGTGTATTACTTATATGCTTGATACTTGTGATATGGCTTTATCCTACAGTTATCTAAGAATATTCATCAAATTATTTTGATTGCTGTGATGAATGAATTGGTCAGGTCAACCCAGATAACATTTTTGTTCACAAGATAAAAAAATCCAAATATGCACCATCAATAGAACCACATGTAATGCCTCTTAGAGTGGTAAAGTGACAGTTCTATTTAGTACAGTATCTTTAGAAGCTCAAGAAAATACTCACATAATAGCATGAAATAATTCTTAGATGTGTATTCATTTTAATAATTTTCTTTTTTAATCAGCAGGTAATAACTACACCCTTCTGAATGTCACAAAAGTTATGTACAGCGGAGAAGAGACAAACTTTTGGGTGCTCATCGATGGGCTGGTTCCTTTTACCAACTACACTGTACAAGTCAATATTTCAAATAGCCAAGGCAGCTTGATCTCCAATCCTATAATGATCGCAATGCCTCCAGGAAGTAAGTCTATGTAAATGTTGGCTATCTTATTTTATATAAATGCCTTAAACTAAGTGTCCATTGAATACCTTGTTTATTTTCAGAGGTATTTTATTTTAGAACTTAGAGGCTCAATTGTATTTCTGGTTCTTTTGATTGTCGTTTTGCTTTGTTTTTTGAGATTCGTTAATTGATGGTCTTTTATTGTTTTGTTGAGACTACCTTCATTCAACTTACACTGTGTGTGTATGTGTTTATATATACCATACACACACATATATCTCTGGATTTCTGCATAAGAAAATTGGGAAACACTTTTTGTTTGAGACTTTACTTAGAGCCAGAATTTATATTTGTAATTTGAGCTTGCATTTTCTACTGCAAATGGTTCTCATTCCTGGTGTTCTAAACAACTACTTTAATTATATACTTAAACTACTCTCTGTGGCAAAAAGGGCAGGGTGCAGATGATAGAATAGGAAAATTCCGTTTGCACTACTAAAAAATAGCTTTAAATTCCTAATCCTAATGATTACAGTTCAGCAGGTCCACATTCACATGTGAAATATGATACAGTCTGGCTATTTTTATTTTAAATATTTCTATAAATATCAACCCAATCTATTCACAATTACCATTATTTTGTTGTACCATCAATTCCACCATGTTTTAAATAGTTGTGGGAAATAATTGTATTTAGGAAAACTCCCTCTAGGGTTGACATGGATGGCCTTGAACAGAAAGCATGCCTAAAAATGTTAAGAGCATCATTCTCAATTGGGTATTTAAGAATGTGTGTGTTCTGAAAATACTGAAGGCAAAGGACCCCAGCACACCCAGTGTCTGCCTTGTAGCCCAGATCCCAGGATTGAGTGTATTCGGGACTAAGGGAGAACGTCACAATTTTTTGTCAGCAATCTGAAGGGTAGGTTAACCCCACTTCCAGTTATAAGCAGTATAAGAACAGAAAATGCCTGATCATTGCAGAAAAATAAAGGGAAATCTTCAATTTGTATGGAACCTCTCTCCTGCCAAAAAGATTCAATACTTGTTATATCATAAAGCCACTATTATCTACTTTTTATGCCATTATTAAAATTAATGAATTGATGTTTTACTAAAACACTTGAAACTTGAAATGTTAGACGCTACATTACTTAAAAAAGAATGCTTGAAAGAAACTTTTTGGGCTGATCAACTCAGTATCATATTTATTGAACCAATAATTTTAAAAGGGAATTGAATTTAGATATATTTATTTAAAAATTGAGACCGAAATACAAAATAAAACAAATTCCCCCTACTAAAATAAACCTTAGGTAATCATGTCTTCATTTTTCACTTGAACACATGTGCTAGGAAGGATAGAAAACTGTGATGACTCTAAACCTTAGTATATAATATCCTTTATTTAAATTTAGAAATTAAAGGATAATCAGTGCCATAATGGAGATTCTAAGTTTGATAATAATACCTTTTCTATAAGACATATACAATATTTAATAAACGTGTTTATTTTATGGTATTTATACTGATTTAGTTTGTGATTTATAGTAATTTATATCATATTCATAAATTAGGGCAAATTTAATTCATTGTTCATGTGTTTAGGAATGTATGGTCTAATAATTTGTTGATTACACATGTATCATGATTCAATTAAGAATAGCAAGCTCCTACTGCTAACTGAATATCCACTATGTGAATATACCTGTCAGTAAAAGGGTTAATATTATGCAAACAGGAAGAAACTAAAGTATTGTTTTATAGTGGTGTAGTCAAACTAAGTAAACTGTTAACTGAGGCTTATCTTCATCTCTGCTCTGTGGATGCTTATCTGTGTCATTACCATAATGCACTGCAGGCCCACACTCTCTGGGCCTGATGCAATCATTCACTTTATGTATTCAGAAATCTAGAATTTGGGAGTCAGTCATTCACCAAAGAGGAAGCAAATATCTTTAAAGACAGACAGTGGTTTGCTAAAGTTTATTATGGCCGTTAGGACATACTTTCTTTTTTCATTAGATTGTTGTTGATTACAATTAGGAAACTTATAGCTTTGAAATTATCTTTTTTATGACCTTGTGGCAGTTTAAAGGTGATACCTCATTGATTAAATAGGTTTCAGTTCATGCTTCCTTTTACTTAATGAACTGAAAACATATTATCCTGATTTACACATAAAAATCATGCTGAAAAGCATGTGGCATTCACTAGAATATGTGTGTTTAAGTAGAATTAAATTAGTACTGAGAGTTATTAAAGAAATCTTCCATGCCTTTGTCCAGTGAACTGTGTTTCATTCTGAAATGAATAATAAATGAACCAATATACAGAAGCGAACCAACTTATGGGCAGAGAAGGTTCTATATGCTATTTACTTTTCCATTATATTTGGATTGTTATCATTATTGCCATTTCCTTGATTTCAATATTAGATCTCTTTTATGGTGATGTTGAATTCCCAGTATCTTTCAATGCTGGATGATGCAAGATCTGTAATGATAATATCCTTAGCTCTGCTTCTTTTGCATAGTTTTAAAACATAATAATAAAAGAGTAGGGCAAAATAAAATGCTCTTTTTTCTTCATCAGATATTTGCTATCAGGTATGACCTGGAAAACCCCCTTTATCCATTTAATCTGGCCAAATCCTACTCATTTTTTAGGCTTGAACCTAAAATTGGTCCATCAGAAAGTCGTCTTTTGCCAACAGAGGCTGAGATAAGGCCTTTCTGTATCCCAAAGAAGAATTATATTATAATGAAATTGCCTGTTTAATCTGTCACAATCACTGGTTATAAGATCCTATAGAGTAGGAACTGTTTCTTCCTCACATTTTTATCTTCAGCGCCTAGACTAAACCTGACACATGGTAGGTGCGTAATGAATAATTGGTGAATGAATGAATGAATAAATTAGTCACGAGTACTTAACTATTAGTTTTAAAATTTAAGTTTATCATGGCTCAGGCTCATCAGGCCTCCTCTCAACCTGAGCAACCTTGTATTTTAGGCAGTTGTGAAAACGTGACCTTCTCTATACACCACTGTCCAATGTAGGAATGCTGTGGTTATGTAGATAAAATTGGAAGCTCAAACTGTAAGTAGGGTGAGCATATTGGTGGTAAGAGGTATTCTCATATTGCACCAACTCATCACTCTTTTATTCTTTCCTATAGCGATTACTTTTCTCAGGTGTGCATAGAATAAACAAACCTTAGTTTAGATAGGAATTTGCAAAGGAGAGACAAAAGGATCACACTCCAAAGAATTTTACCACAATATATCATCTCTTAATTGATGGTTAGGATACATCTTATTTGCCAGTCCTACCTCTGTTTTTCTGATGAAAAAATATACAATTAAGAATATGATAAATACAAGTTATTGGAAGATAGAAATTAAAGCAAGAAGATGCTACTAATAACTCAGCACATAGATGAACAGTGGCAATTCCCAATTAACACCCATGTTTTATTTGGACAACTGGAGGAGCTTCTCTCTTTTTTTCCAATTATGTAACGGATCCTCCCCTCCTTCTGCACACTCAAGTTTTTTGTATTTCTACAATTACTATATTTTTAGGTTGTTTGTAATAACATAATGCTCATATTTAGCACTTAGGTACTCTTGGAAATAAAGAATATATTTAATCAGAGCTCTTGAATAGCATTATGGTACAGGTTCAAGAGTTCCAGGAAAAGAATTTAAAAAATAAAAACGAATCCAAATGTTAATCCATAAATATGAAACTTTCCTATGGCCTTTACCCCTTCAAGGTCTGGAGTTACTAATGGGGTTAGGATTTCAACGCTTAATGGGGCTCAGTGCATTAGTGTTTTGTATGCATGGAATTCAGCATTCAGTTTAATAAGTGGTTGACATTGGTGATGTCCCTTAATTTGCTTAAATCTAATTGGCTCTTTTATCAGTCAAACCTGTATGGATTGGCAATTGATCAGAAAGGGTCAGCCATGACTCTGCATGTAGTTAAATGATGGAAGCACCAGTTAAAGTCACAGTTGCATGATAATAAGCAAAGGAAGAACAAATGAGCTTAGAGGAGGAAGGCAAAGAAGCTTAGAAGTTTTGCAGGATCTTCAAGTTCAGAACAAAGGCATTATAGAGTATATAAATTTTAAATACACTGCATTTTGCCTCCAGACTTAAACCTTTTTTTTCCAGATGAACTGAAATCTTGTCTGAAACTGTCTTTGTTACATCAAAGAACTACTCGGAAAGCTAAAAGAGACAGAAGAAGCATAAAAGGGCATAGTTTAAAATGATTAGTGACAAATTCCATACTGATGAGCTAGAAACAGATTTTTTATGAAAGTTTTATATTATTCCAAAAAGGAATAATTCTCTTCTGTTTATCTTTTTCTGAACTGCTTTATTATAACAGTAGAAGGAACTTGAAGCCACCCTGGTTTGTGAACCTAATCCAGTTTTCCTCTGACAGTAAATAGTTTGCCATTAGTACTTTTAAATTGATGAGAATTATTATAATCTACAAACGGTATAAAATACTAAGCTTGATAAACCTGTTTATTTTCCCAAAGGTGTTATTAGAAAACCAAAAATTGAGAGAGGCAAAATAGTTGTGAGTAGTTTGTTTTACAGGGTCTTTTTGACTGTCTCTCCTTCCCTGAACCCCCTCCCCACTTCTCCGCCTAAAATATCAATGAAAAATAAAACCATTAGGAATTAAAACTTAGGCACATTGCAAAAGCATAAATGTTGGAGTCCTAAAAACATGGATTTAAATCTACCTCTTTCACACACTGCTTGAGTGACTATGAGCAAATTTTCAAATTTGCTCATCCATAAAAGAGGCTGGATGGTAATTCCTACCTGATGTAACTGACTGGCAGATTAACAACATAATGTATGTAATGTGTTTAGCATATTGCCTGTCTTGATAAACATTTGATGCTTCCTAACTCCTCTGTTCTATATTCCTACTAAGACTCTTTCTGGGGGCCTGGAAAATGCCCTATAGAAAAGGCAAGTAAA